GTCGCATACAGTGCAATAAATATAAACTGAGCGCTCTCCGACTCTAAATCTCCCATCCTTATATGATCTTTCAGTCATTTGGATAAAAGCATTCTTGGAGAAGTATTTTGGGTTATTCTCGAGAAGTTTCTTAAATGGATAAGAAATTCGAGAACATTACAACAGGATTTAAACTGGAATAGTTAGTTTTAACCATTTTTATAGTTTATAACCGATCTTAATGATTTACTGTATAGCGTTTTAGCGAATTATAGCAATTTTAGCAAATTCTAGCAATGATTTAGCAACTTATACTAGATAATATCATCATTCAAATTTATACAGATTTACTGATTAGCGATTAGATGATTTGTAGCTGATTTGCGAGACTACATGTTAGTAAATCCAAAATTCATTTTTATTTGATTACAAACATTTCGGAATTTATATGCTAATTTTATATTTACATGCAGTTTGTGGATCTCTCGTGATTAACAGGGATTAGCCAAAGACGCTTTGCATGATTTATAACATAAAAATTTGTATCACCTTAGCTCCCAGACAGTTTCCGGCACTTCTTCACAACCTTCTCGCAACTCAAATCACGGGATGGGTTACAGATCAGCCAATAAGATTTTGCGCAGTAGCTAAGCCACCATTATTATTCGATTAATCATTATATCGATCATTTTTTAGCCTTAATACAATTACGACGCTCATTTATTCACAGCTCAGTCGAACTATGGCACTTAAAGGCAAGGCTTTTTTGCTTGCTCTGTTACCCCACTTTTCTTAAAACCGTAAAAATGTCTCTCGAGTGGAATGAAGAGCAGACCCGTTTCCTCATTGACGAACGTAAAACTGGTAATGAAGTCTACCATAAAACCCCTAAATGTAGCAAGACAGACTTCTGGAAGGAGATATCAAACAAGCTTAACGAAAATAATAACACGAATTATTTTACCGGAGAAGCCTGTAATAAGAAATTCCTTTCCCTAACTCGAGCTTATTATGTGAGTAAATGATAATTGTTGGCAGACTAGATTTTGCCTGGCCTGTAAGTGGACAATGTCCGGCCGATTTTTTCCCTAACGCTATATATTTTGTATTAATCATCGCAAGTGTGATATATTTGGTATATGTAGACGACTAAGGCTTATAAAAGAAGGATCCAGGTATTTACACTGTGCCTTTATTGTGATATTTTTTTACGAAAGATACACTAAAAAATGTTTATTATTTCTAGGAGCACAACAGCATCCCAATACAGTAACGCCATCATCATCATCTAACACGCCGAGTAGAAGACAACCATCAAGAATTCCTCGATCTCCTAATAGATCACGTCCAACAACACCCTCTATATCAAGACCACCTTCTTCTGGTTCCAGACACGTGACGCCCTCATTTTTTCAGAGCGCTGAAACGATTAATATTTATATTAATTATAATGAGCCGGATCGAGAGTGATTTTATAGTTTGCTATTCTGTATTAAAGCGGGATTTTTTCATATCTGTAAATAGCTATATTAGTTTAGTAAATTTTGTATTTTTTCATGACTGTAAGTGCGATGCAGTAGAATACGAAAGCAAATGTAATTAATAAAAAAATAAATATCAATATCACTTGACCGAAGGCGCTAAAGCATAAAACATGAAACATGTTTAAAAAACTCAAAGTACAATCTTTATTATATTTTTGTAAAGTAATATGTGAGAAAGAGCCGGCCGGCTAAGTAAAAATGAAAGTAATAAAAGACATTGGAGTAGATCTCGTTTAAAGGGAGGAATCACGCCGGCCTCTAAGCCAAATATGGCGGTTCCTTCTCACTACCCCATATTATTTTCGTTATTATTATTTGCGCTACTCGCATTATTATTATCTAAACTAGCAATTTCTTTACTTTATACCCATCTCATAATTGACATCAATGTGGTATATTTTGGTTCCCCTTTACCATAATAAAAACTTTCTACAGTACTCTTTCCAATCTTTTCCCCGGTAAGATGTCGAATTTCACGTCTCACAGTTTCAAGCGCATAGTCATTAGTCTCCCCCACTTCCTTTTCCGAGTCAAAAACTCTCTTAAAACGGTTCCTATTTTACACAAGAGATGAATTGGATGAACCGGATGAATTACCGGATAAAGAATTAGCGCTTCCACGTGATCGATTCGAAGCCTCGGATTGGTTCTCACTCAACTGATCAAATTCGATCTGAAGTCTTTGGGCAATTGCATAACATTGGATCATTTCATTTCGGAGAGCTTCAATAGAGGCCCTGACCGAATTGAATTCAGATGAAATTTTGCCAAAATCATTACGGCAGTCTTCTTCAATATTGTTGATCATCGATAAAATGTTCTGCGCCTCAGAGAAGTAGCCAGCATCACGTGAATTGATTTTAGCGATTTTTCCAGTAAGTTTCTTATTAAGTTCATTGTTGTTTCTCACAAGCTCCGCAGTGAAGGAAGAATTAACTTCAGAAAGGCGAGTGGAAAATTCATTGGTGATTTTAGTATTAATTTCCGCAGTGAGTTTACTGAAGATGTTTTCGATTTCCGGTGTATTATTTTTTGTATTAAGATCATTGACGATTCTAGTGACACGTGCAGAAAGTCCATCGGAAATTTTTGTTTGAGATTTGACCACATGGTAGCGATCCCCATGATTAACACTGGACCAATGAACAAAAAAACAGCGGTTAAGGTCAAAAAAGGCATGACTCCCGAAGAGTTGATCAATGATAAACTGGACATGATTAGGCGTAGTAATTTTATTGAGATTTTATTGGTGGATCAAGTTTTTTAGATAATATCGCTTGATTTTTTTAATAGCAATAGTTATCTTGCGTAAATGCGCTGGGAGAAAGGTTTATTTTATACTGTATGCTTACTACGCGTGAAAAGAGAATTTAACCCGATTTAATAAAAATTACATTGCTTTATTAATTATTATGTGTATTTGTCATAACTACATTTTTCATAATTACGTTGCTCGTAGATGCCTAATTGTTGAAATAACAATACATGACGCGTTAACAGTGTGAAATCGGTATTATGAATACTAATAAAGTACCAAGAAATTTGCTGTTTATTGCTAAGATCATCTATTGATATGCTTACCCGCTAGTATTTCTTTTTTCAAATTAATGAGAAAAAAGGTGGCCCCTATTCGTGCTCCATACAAATCTACTAACGATCCGTAAATGGAAATTTGTTTTATTATGTAGAATGTGGCCAGAGGCATCCCCTTACATTTCATAGGATGAAGATCTGTAAATCGGTAGATTAAGAGGCGCAATTTCCATTCTTGTCTCATTCTAACAACCGGGACATTGCGTGACACCAATTCAAAGGATCGTAATATATGTATTATGCCAGAACCTTCCGGAAAAAAAGTCAAACATCATCATGCATAGCGCCTTAGGCCCGGATTAATTATTTATTGATCTAGACCCACGATCTACTTCCCCATAAATTTGCAAAAATATGACGGTATTTCATGAGATCTTGGCCCTGGCTTCATTGTTACAAAAATAGCATATATTTTCCATTATTACGAAAATAGCACATCTAAAAATAAAAACACTGCGGAAATAGCATAAACGAATTCTTTCTGCGCATTTCAGGTGATCGATCTCACATGACGAAGTTACTCTACTGCGCATAGCATATTCTGCGGATATAATTCACATGAACCAATGACGCCTTACTGCGGGGCGCCAAAAGATGACGTTTACATGCTATAAGCCACCCACGTTATTCGAAAAAAAGAAAGAAACTATACGGCAATTTAGTCTATGCGAATATGCAATTCATCCTAGGGGGAGGTTTTTCTTTCGTATCTTCCATCACGATAATAATAGCCTCTATCACATTCACCATATTCATTATATCCATCGTATCCATTATATCCATCATCACATGATGTGGCGTAAAGTTCAGATAATTCTGGAAAATCTGGAACATTCGCGATTTTTTTACATAAAAAGGACGACTTCTTACGTGTTTGTTCCGTGTTTCCTGTCTTCCTGTCTTCCCAACAAAATGAGTGTCGCGACAGAAGGCCTAGAAGAAATACAAATTAAGGTGACCCGGGAAACCAAGCAAGCCTCATTAATTAATCAGGTATTTTTTTTAGATCGTTTATCAAAAATTGAGTGACGACTACAATACACACAACAATAGGTATTAACGTATATTGAGGAATCATTGAAAAAATTGACACCTGAGGAAAAACAAGATGTCGTAAAGATCGATCTTTCTGCTTACAAATTGGATAATGTTGTTGTACGTGAAACAATACATGATAATTATAAAGCTGAGATAATTGGAGAACACATGTTCATTAAAGTAAGTTTAAATTGGTAAAAGCGACTTCTTTACTGTAATATAATTTAATTTCGCCGTTGGTTTATGTAGTATGATAGTAAAAAAAAGGAAAAGATTCATCGCAGATTAGCAAATTCTGCTGAAGATCATAATCAAAATTGGGATGTAGATGCAAACGGAATGTGTACAGATAATAATGGTAATGAATTTCTGCCAGATGTCGGCGTGTGGTTCCAAATGCCGACCCAAGCACAACAGACAAGGCCTATTGCTGAACAATGTCCCCTCCCAGACGTATGGGTAGAGGTAAATGTATTAAATTTTGCTGGAAAAATATACGATTTAACTTATAAGATTCGGTTTCTATAATAATCAGGTTTTCTATAATAGAGACCCAGATCGCAGTAGAGCTTTAACTAACATTGCTTTCGTCCAACAACAAAACTTGGGTATTGAATTCATTGGGATTGCCCTCCCTTATTCAACAAACACTTTCCAGCAAAATCCAAATCCTGGGATAGCTACGACACCTGCAAATCCTCTAGCAAACCAAAACGCAAGACCTTTCATAGCACCGTACATTATTCATTGGGACATGAATAATGTTCCAGTTTACTACAGAATTAATTGGAATGAGCACCTTGTCCTTAGATGTGGTTGGGTCCTTGAGTTTAATATCGTTCTTAATGTACTTGCAATGTAATCGTTAATATTATTTTTAAAGCCTTCTATCTTTTTTTCTGATGCTTATATTATTAGAAATGTACTCATTTTATTGTAAAGTATAAAAAAAAGGTAGTAAAAATCATATGCGCAAATTATGCTAATAAAAATTATACCTAAATCTTAAAAGAACAGTTATGCAATATACGATAGAGTAAAACAAGTTTGAAATTTCCAATCTAAATTATTATGAAATGTATTGTAATAAATAAATACAACGCATCCCATGATGTCATTGTCGAGCATTCCCAAGCTCCGTAAATTCTTTATCCGTGACGATATTATCACCAAGACTTTTAAGATGTTGTAAGTGATTTAGGCATATGCAAGAATGCACTTTGGCCTGACACCTACATCTGTCCGTCTATTGTTTTATAGCGTACGAATTCTACAGAAAAAACGATCCTACTCCTTGAAGATCGAGGTGATTAGCGTGGAGAATTTCGTTAGCACAGCCTCGGCAAGAATTTTTCTGATATCGTACAAGTGATCTGTCCACATGATCGAACTATGATACGATTGCAAACTTAAGTTTTTTGCTTGAAGTGTTGCAGGTAAGACAATATTCTGTTCCATTTTTATACCATTCGCCATGTAATCCATAATTCCCATGTTTTCCATCACAAATAGGGCATGGTGAGCTCCACGGCTGAGGTGATGCAAAATTATAATTATCAATCCCTCTGAAACTATTTCGGAATTTCAAGTATGGGAAGTGCTCTAATTTCAATAGCATTGTGAACAACTAATTTTGTGAGCATGCGAAGCCCTGCGTTATATGATGTTAATAAAAAATTTTCTAACTACTAGTAATATATATAAGTTACTCTCCCAATAAAATGTAGCTTTAAAGGATGTTTTATTCAATGCTTTATTTTTACATATAGTTCATAGTACTTTTTACATTTTTTACTCTTGATAAATACAATAAAAAAGCTAACTGTTACATTAATAGCAATTATATTAGTAGAAAATCTATTTGTTACAATTATTTGTTAATACATTTAACGTTAGGCAGTTTTTATGGTTTATCACCAACTGCGACAACTCTTATAATGTGGTTGGCGCCTTTGGGAAATTTAATACCATGTTCCCATTCCTTTGGGATATCAATAATGGAAGGGACTTTTGGGACGTATAAAATTCAGACTAATTCACACCTATAATCAGCTACTTCGTCACCTTTACTGTTCAATGCTTCAATAGTGAACCCAAGTGTTGCAAGCCTAATCAGTAGTTGTCGATAACCATGACGTAGGTTCTTGACCGTTAGTTTGATTTCACCTATCTCGATTGAAACAATTTTCATATCAAGATAACTTGTTGGCCTTCCACGAACGTCCAATTCAAGAACTTCGTAGAATGGTGCCTAAAAAATTATATATAACAAACAAGAGTTAGTATATTTTATAACAATTTCAAATTACACTCTCAAAAGTGTATATATAAATACATGATCATTCTCTATGGCTATTTTTGGATCCATGATATACGAAGTGATCAACATCACACCCAAGGATCTTGTATTTGCGAGAAATAGACGATTTTCTGACGAACTATGCTCTAATTAGCAAAATTAAGTTAAATTTTGATTTACTATCAAACTTTAGTCTAAATAAACTTACTCTCTTGATAAGCTTCCCAGACATTGAGAGATTTTTCCGCTCTATTAGCGAGGGCATTGAGATTTATAATAAAATTATTGTCTTGAGGTAACGAACGAATATAATTTATTGATTCTTTAAGTTTCATTTTCATATTTATATTCTGTTCAAGAAGTGCAAAAAATTATGGTAAATAAGAATCATGTGTAAAAACCATCTCATAATAATTATATTCACTTACATAAATATAGTCTGAAACTTTGTCAGCACGGTATACTTGAACATATATCGGAGTTTCAAATTTTGGTTTTTCATTGGAGAGTTTTTTTCGTGGTAAAGAAAGTCGTACAAGACCATTAAGATCTGATATTTCAAACTTAGAAGAGTATTGGGAACCGCTTATTTTAGCAATTTCAAGCCGAGCGGATGCTTCATAAACGCTTCCAAAGTCAGATCTCATAAGATCCATTTTGTCATCAAGATTTTTCAGTGCACTATTCAGATCTGCACATATAGTTTAATAAAGGAAAAGGTTATTAGAAGCAATGGATCAAAAAATCAAGTCAGGATAGTTCACTCGCGTTGACCAAAATTATTACGGCTCACTTACCAATACCGGGTTGCTCTACGATAACGCGAATGTGTTTTTTGAGCGGGTTTGACAATAAGAAGCAGGAAAGAAAAGCACAAGAATAAGTAAGTATTCGGTATTATTGGCGAATATGACAGAAGACGAAAAAAATATTTTATTTTGACTCAAATACCTTGCCCTTTGTCATTAATTCTCTTAACTAAATTCGCTATTGCTCCAGCCGGTCCGCCAAGAAGATTGTAAGGAGGATTGACAAGCTTTTGTTCGGTCAAGCCGAGGAAGGCAAGACCAGCGACTCTGTTATCTTCGATTATCTTGATATCACTAGGCTCAATATCCAAGACTTCTTTATTCTCTTGTAAGAAATCAAGAACCTCCTTCCTCTTCCATTTCATAACATTTTCAATTGACGGGAGACTATCTGAAAAAGTACTTGTAGTTGTAACAGGAATACTTGTAACACCAGACATGTTGTACAGTTCAAAAAAGAAATAATTTGCTTGAAAGAGTAACACGAATAGAGGATATATTTATGAGAAATCAATTGTCGCACAGATCAGGGACGATGATTTTATGATGTGATAAAACACAAATTATTTATGTGCTAAAACAAAATTATGCGATTTAATTTTTTTCAAAAAAACTTCACATTATGTGATATTATTTGACGAAATGTGCATATTATTCGAAAAAATGCTTCATCCGTTCATAAAAATGTGAATTTATTTTTGTAATCACGTGGAAATTACAACCATGACATCACAAAATAATTCTGATAACGGCGGAAACTTCAGAAAAAACTGGTATTTTACTGCGGAATATGCGTTTTTAATATAGGAGGTATAAATTATGCGATATTATGCTGTGATAAAACTAAATTATGCATTATCGCATATATTATTCGTTTTATGTGAAATTATGCAATCACATAAAATCATCGTCCCTGGCACAGATTGATCTGACTCATCAGTTGATCAGTTACGCAATGACTTCATAAAAAAAGTGTTAAACTTTGAGATCGTGACGCGTGTCACAAGTCGTAGTTTTACATATCAGGTGATAAGCGAGAAAAATACTTTATTAATACATGCGAAAAAAATAAATATCAAAATCTTTCGTCGCACAGAGGTGAGAAAAATAACAATATCTTTCTGCGCATTCAGATGATCGATGCTGGTCGCTTTTTTGAAAACATAATTTTATTATATAAGCCACATGCAAACAGGTACTAGCCACATGATGTTAAGTCGTTGTATAAGCCACGTAAAGATTAATCAAGGTTAAAGTCTTTTCGATCAATACACTCTTTAAATTTATATATCTTCTGAGGAATCGTAATTTCCGGATTCTCGTCATACCATACTTCAAGAAGATAAATTCCATTAAGCTGACATAAGGTTCTTTTTTTCCGATCACGATCAACAATATCTTCGAGTTTTTTGACATCTTTATACCAGCTAGTATTATGAAGCCGATGTTGTGCCCCTTGCACTTCTAATGCCATTCGATGATGTCGGAAGAAAGCATCAAGTTCTAATCCCCTCATAAAAGATGGTCGGTATTCAACAATGGGTTCCTCTCCAAGCAATACTTGAGCAATTAGAATACATTTCTCCTGAAATTTACGATTTTTCTTTGATTCCAATTCTTTTTTAAGTTCATCTATATCTTGTTCCAATTTCACAACTCTTAAAAAAATATGTGTTTTTGGGCGAACCGAGTTCGCTGAAATTTGCCAAGAAAATTTTTTATTATTACATGCAAAAAAATAAATACAAAGGTTCGGGACGTAGCCCGGGATACATGACTAAATTCTATCCTATGACCCGCACGCAAAATCATTCCTTAATAAATTTTTTCGTCCTTGCTCTCTTACTATCCGGAGAATCATCAACTTCGACCCTATCCTTCAACAAGCCAACGATTACCCCCATAACCTTTTTAACACCACGGCGAAGTTCCGCATCATCTTTCATTATTTTCTCGTTAAGTGCTATGTGATAGTCGTCTTTCGAGCAATAGATCCTTTCCGGTGTGTACATGAGGAAGTACCAGTCAGAGGCTAAAACAAAAAAGGCACAAGTTAGTATATACGAATGATGGATAAAAAAATCACACAAAGGACTGAAAATCTCTACCCGTAGTCACGATCCCATAGAGATAGTCAAACTCATCATCGAATGCCACGGATGCTTTCCTTTTTCTCGTGTTTGTATGGTGAGAGCTTTCGAGTTGCATTATGTTCTGCATGAATCCCGCCACCAAATCCTTTTGTTTTCCCTCGGTTATGGCTATCAACTCCTCATTGATGACATCTATGACTTTCTTGATTACGTAATCGACTCGGCCAGATGCTTCTTCGCCTACGACTTCGAACTGGGGGTCCATGGTAATTCCTTTCTTAGTGATTCTTTTGGCGATATAGATGGATGCATATAATATTGGGGAAATATACTCGCAACGCACAGCCTCATTCCTACCAGTTGCAGAACCTATAATTCCCATCCTACGTTTTATCTCTGTTATACACTGCTCCAGCTCCTCGTCTTCATCGTCAATTTCCACAGGCTCTGGCTCAAAGGGCGGAATTTTTGTTATTTCATTGCTATCGATCCCATACTTGCGCAACACCTCACTCAACTCTTTCTTAGTCTTGTACGAGGAGAACGACCTCAGCTTTTTCTCCTTGCACTCCCTAGCGAAGTCTACGAGAGCAGTTGCAGGTCCCAATTTCATTCCATGACGCTCAAGCTCTTCTTTGGTTATCTTGAAGAAGGTACGGCCATTAACCTCTTCATTTTCTAATATTTTAAGAGCTGACTCGCTAAGTCCTAAGTCCTCCTGACCCTTCAGAAACTCTATAAGCTTGGCCGTGTCATATTTTTTAATTTCGTCCGCGAGCGAGACCGTCTCATTTCCAGCAACAGTAGTAGAGGTGGAAGCTGGAGTATAAGGTGTACTAGTTTCAGACATAGTGCTTTTATAGGGATATTTGGCTCGGTAAAAAATAGTGTTACGTCCGGAGGAAAATAGAGTTTTATTTCTAGTGGGAACGCAGGTGTTAGTATAGGTTTTTATGTAGCACAGGCATTACATCATTACACGTGACCGGGCTCTCATGTACATTCAATAAAATAATAATCCTTTATTTATAAAATAAATCGTTGCCGGAAGTCGGCCTACAATACATAAAAACTATTACATAGCATGACGTAAATAAAAAAATTCTAATTATTTGTGTGGCACTGTTTCAGTAGGAGGATACACGATAACATTGATTCCCTTTTCACCGGAATAGATACGTTGGGGCTGAATGGGAAAATGAATAAAAATTCTATCTTGCGGTTCCATTTCTACTGACCCATCTACTATGAATACGTTGTTGTTTCTTAAGGTGTTGATTATAACGCTATCGGCTACAAACCCAACCTTATATAAGGCCAAACTGGTCGAATCAATATCTTGAAATCGATCTAGACGATGGTTTCTGATTGCCTCCGCAAGAGAAGAAACTCGATTGTTATTGGCATTAGATATTGTTACTTCGAAGATATCGTTCACCCCCTCACCAGGAATGAAACAATTAAGAATAATGTCTCCGCCGGCGAGAAACTTTTCAAGCTTGTCAGAAGTCTTGGACTTATCGGGTACTTCAGCCTTATCAGACATCTTGCTTTCCTAAATACAAGGCCCATGGTGAGAAAAAACTCGCTCCCATTCATAACTGGTCCCAGAGGGACCCTCTCTGGCATATACATACCTTATTTTGCGTTATTTTACGGGAATGTTTTTTGCGGAAAGTTGGCTGAACTTCCACATACCTCTACATGCTTTATATCTTGCTGGGAAAAAGAGCGCCAAGCCGAAGTTAAGGAGGTATGAGGCGTAATTAGTATTGTCGTCTGATGCCAAGAGTTCTATGAAAGCACATGCAAATGAAATCTTCAAACCCTTTCACATGGAGATCTACCGGAAAGACATAGTTGCTCTTACGCCTGGCGATCTCGGAATTGCGTGTCCCTCAGCCTTTCATAACATATGCTTTTATCGTCACTATTTACTTTTAGAGTTGGTCCTGTGTTGCATGTAGACCTCCTTTCAAGCGAAGCGCCTGTGAAGCAGGCCATTTTTCTCATGATTGTTCAGGAAAAAATAAAGAATAAAGGTTAATATGTTTTTTCGATATATATGCAAAAATTATTATGTCGCACAAGACCTGTCTGGTGATCCACTTATTTTTCTGTCGCACAGGAGTGGCCCAGCAAATTCTTCCGAGCTGATGATCACTATCCCGGGTTGACGATCAGTATTCCGGACTCGGCCATAGGCACCTTCGGTAAAATTTTCCACATTAAATATATTACTTTACTATTAACAATCATGATGAATAACAATACTAATAAATCTCCTATGAAAGAATCTCTTGATCAATTATATGAAGTATTTTTATATAAGAAGAAGGATATAATAGCTATTCAGAAAAAGCTTGGTATTAATATCAATGCAAATCAAGAGGCAATGCGTCAAAGCAAGGAAGAGATAACACTTGCCGATTCATATGAGTTGTTGTTAGACTTGGTGGGAGATATGTTACCAATACAGGAGGAACTCAACATCGAAGGCAATCCCATTCTAGAGGTGGAACTTAGGAGTTATAAAGCTTCTACGGATATTTCATATAGAGAAATATATAATTTGCTTTTATACCTGGAAGAGGATATAATAACAATTCAGGATGAACTCAGTATTATTGGTTATTCTAATCAAGAAAGGGCAGAAGAAGTCGATGAAAAAGCAAGAGCATATCTCCAAAAGTTTGAGGAATTCCACGGTCCATCAGAAGATGTTCCAATTGTGATTTTACAGAAATATGGTGAAATGGGGGTAAATAAAATTCGGTTTACTGGAGAGGGACATCCGCTATTTCCAAATCTCTCTCCTCAACAATTACACGAAATTTTTGTAAAAAATTCAACTAGCACCGGACAGTGCCCATGTCTAGAACAGGTTAGCTAATCTATATTTTTTGTCGTACAGAAGCACTGTACATGCATGTGGCTCAGCAAAAATCTAATTAATGATCATCGCTCCGGACTATTGATCTAGCCAACCCTGGATCGGAATACCACTGCAAGTTACCTCGACCTAAAAGATTCTGAAGACTCCGAGCTAAAATCTGTCTACTAGCAACGTTGTTCTGTGTAAGATGATTTCTAACTAGTCCAATGAGATCAGGAGGCGTTAAAGTTTCCATAAAATTCTCTACATGGATATTTGGATTAAGAGAAATGAGCTGATCTACGGCTTCTTTGCTAATATAAATACACCCTTCCAAATTGAGATACTTTATGTTAAGACAAGATCTAGCAATTTCTTTGATAGTTATATCAGTAATTTCACAAAAGCCAAGGTAGAGATGCTGGAGCCTTGGGCAGGAACGAATAATATTGCAAATTGATTGTTCGGAAAATTCTGTATGGTTAGAGATATTTAGATATTCTAGTTTGTGGCATAATTCTGCGATTGCAGTTAGACCTATATCATTTTTCCCCGTAATCCCCATAAAGTGGATATATTGAGATACTTCAAATTTGGGTATGATTTCGCTATTAGCTTTAGAGTTTTACCAATACAGTCCGTACTTCCTTCAAAATCTAAATGAATTATATTTTGGAAAGTATGCACAATGCCTTTGATTTTTTTATTTGAAAGTGAATAGTAGTGTGTTATTTTAAGATGGGTTAGTTTTGAGCTATAAACTGGTTTTCTTCCTCCTCCGGGTACTATTTTTAAAAATCTTTCTAATCGAGTTCGATCTTCTTCTTCCCATCCTTTTAGCTCAATACGCCTCCATAGGATAGGGGCACCACATCTGTACCAAAGCCGGCTAACAAATAGAGCAGGGTATAGTGACTTATCTATTGCTAAGAAATATAGAATTCGCTCTAATAGTTCCGGTAAATTAAAAATGCTTGAATGCGCCATAAATATTCTATTTTATATGTTGTATCTTAAACGAAAAAATAAAATTACGCATATTGATGATCACTACTTCGGATAATCGTTATTCTACATGGGTTCATACTTTGAATGGGATCGCAAAATTATCGTCTAATAATAGTTTTGAATTGCATATATCCAAAATTGCACCATTTTCTCGAAACTAAGACCCTCCTAAAATTAAATCAGGTCCCGGCCAATCTGGTCCAACAACTATGAATTCACTGGGTGTGCTTTTATGTTTCTCACCATCATTAAAGCCGATATGCAGATTAACTTTTCCTATTATGGAATAGGTTGCATCCAGAGTTTTAATGCTATTATTTTCATCATGATATGCAATTCCTAATTCACCAATATGTTTTTTGGCTAATGCAATTTACATTGGCGCATGTATCAATTGATGCCTGGGTGGGACTATTTTCTTCGACTACACAATTCACGAATACCATTTTTATTATAGCATATATAATATCCAAATATAAAAAATAAATTTCTATCACTGCGGACTGGCATTTATCGGATAGCTAATTAGCCTTATTTTTTATTATATGCATTTTCTCCTGATCTTTCTTTTGGGCTAGGCGCTTCCTAATTCTTTGATGCTTAATCATGTTTACTATCTCATCAATATCAGAATCGGATGAACTGGATTCGGATGAACTACTCTC